GTCAATCTACTTTTCACAGCTATTTCTGTTAGCAATTCTGTGGGAACCTAATTAACTGCTGTGTTTTGATCTCCAGTTTGTGGCCACATTTCCTTTGATGTAACACTCAGTAAAGTCAGAATTGCTTTATATTATTGCATTAATTTTTGTATCAAATCAAATGAAGAGAGCGGAATAAAACAATGTTATATGGCAATGAAATCTTACCCACATAAAAAATTAGTGGTCAACTTGAGCGCTGTTGTAAATATTATTATCTAAGATATATAAACTACCTTAAATTATACCAGTAATTAACAAATGTCAAATATAGCAAGGCAACCTAGCGAAAGGAGAACTCATTGAATGCAAAGCTTTGTGTGATAAAAACTGTTCATTATGGAGAAGCATGTTTGAGAGTTTGTAGTGAACTAAAAATTCCTGAATTGGCTATCTGAGATTTGCTGAAGGATGAACAGAAGTTTCATTTTTACATGCAGTGAAATCACAGCATCATTTTTCAATAAACAGTTTGTAAAAATTGAGTTACAGTATGACAAATGTCTCAAGCTTTACAAAAAGGAAACTTGTTTTGTTGTGCAAAAAGCAGTGACATAATGCACAATGTTTTACAGGTATACATATATATGATGGGTGTTAAAATTTCTTGCAATTGTTTATCACAATCTTTTAGAGATTGGTTGTATTGAAATCAAAAGTAATTGACTCAGAAAAGCAAACAATTTCATTACAAAAAGTCATTTTATGACAATTATTCCCAACTTGATTATAAAACCTTTATTTAGCTGTTAAAAAGTGCCCCAACCCAAGTTTTCTTGATATCTTGCACCCCACTCATTGTGCAGAGGCTCCTTGCTTATAGAGGTATATTTTTTTATCTTCATTGTGTGTGAGTTGTGAAGGGAGAGGTGTACTGTGAATTTATTGTTTTTCATGGGATACCAGTTTTCATGGTAGGTATAGACCACAAATTTAAAGACTCTGTGAACAGAGATTCATCTGTGGAAGTAACAGGCTGCTTATCCAAAATGCGTAATTTTACCAGTGAAAAATCTTATTTATCACAAAACCACGAAAATTTGTATCCATGAAAATTCATGAATTTGCTATAATTGTCAGCAATGCCAGCAAATTTTGAGCAAATTAAAGAAGCAAATTTTCAGAGACAGCAAAGTTCAGGGTCTTGTATTTTAAGCAGATATTGTTGACTATTGTAACACCATACTAAATAATTGTAGTCTGTTTTCTCTTTATTGTTTTCACCAGCATATGTTATTCATGTTATTATTTGAATATAAACATTTAAGGATGTAATTTGCCACCAGGTACATGTGGAAGAAGCTAGTATTATTGTTTGATCAGTAACAGATATTCCTATTTTCAGTTCTATCAACATAGATTTTTATCCCATAAATTGGCAGGTAAGTTGCAGGTTATTTTTAATGTAGATATTTCTTCACACAAGTGTGCTTTATTTGTACATAAACATGCTATATTTCGATATTGTCAACCATTACTTAGTAGTAAATAGTAATGGGTAGTGCTACATTTTTTCCAATGAGTGCTATATAATATTTTTGCGTGATATATTTAATTATGTCCAACATTTCTTTGAGTTCTCATTTGTTATTTGTTTCTTGATAAGCCTGCCATTAAATCAGCTGTTGTTTACGATGTAAATTAAAGAGTCATGTTCAAATGAAAACGATGTTATATCTTTTTTTTATATGCCTCTTTTGAGGCAGGTGTATATAGAAATCTTTGTTTCCATCTGTCCATCCTTCCATTTCAATTTGGAGAATACAACTTGTCTCATATTTTTGAACTTGTTGGGATTTCATCCCTCCCAAGCATACAGCATGCTTGCTTGGTTACTAATGAACTTTGTTTCTTTTAATAAAACACTTTTGATATTTACCTTTTCTGATTTTTTTCACCTGAATGAGTCAGTTAATAAATATATCTTAAGGTACCAAACTTAAATTTTAATCCTGAAAGAAAATGATTAATTAGACAAGAGTCCTTTCCTCTCATAATATAATATAGTTGGACAGTTTCTTTGTAGCACCAGAAAATATAAAACCATTTCTCCTGAACAAATTCGCAATGTCTGGTCTTCACTAACACTATACAACAATAGGTTGTTGGTTCTGAATAAAAGTGGTGTTCATTATACCTCCATGATGGCACCATAATATCCATTTTGAAAGTCTTATTACAACTGCTATTGTGTGAATGAGGGTTCATTTAAAATGGCAAAGATCCGACTACCAGCATATCCATGCTTTTGTAAACCAGTTCCAAAAATCAGATCCAGTAAACCTCGATTTTGTTTTGTTGAACGTCAGAACTATGACATTTATTGTAAGGTCAAAGGTCATGACTTTTTTTTTTAGCTTTACAGGTTTGTGAGCATGGATTTTTATCCAACCTAGTTGTGGATATTATCATCTAATGGATGGTTGAAATGAGTTCACTTAACTAAGTTTGTTTTTCAATAAAATATAGTTCACAAAACTTGGGATGTGTGTATATTTGTACAGTATCTGAAACCAATTTAATGCAAGTTGTCCAACATCTACAATCACCAAACATTGGAGATGGTTTGCACTTGGAGCAATGTAGAACTATATTGATTTTGAAATGGATGTGACACCAAGAAAGAAAATGGTTTCTGCACAATAGTTAAGTTCTCCCTCTTCAGTAACCAAATGTTGTGGCTGATTTGCATTTCTGTTACAGAATAGCCGTATTGATTTGAGTGTTTAAAGATCAAGGCCAATGACAAGAATAAAAATAGCTTCCACACAGTAACATTAGTTTTGCATCATTGATAAAGACGAAAAGTTTGTGGGTGACTTAACATTGAAGTAGCCTGTTGATTATCGGGTGAGTCAGTTGGAGGTCACTGAATTAAAGCAGAACAGGTTTTTGTGCTAAGATTTCACTTACCTAAATTGTGGACTAACTCAAGCCAGGCATATAATGGTCAATTTGTGATTTCTGGCTAGACTTATGATAGACCAAAAGAACTTATGAGATGACTTGCTGTAGGTTAGGTTTTCTGTTGCACATCCATCGCAGTGACCATCTTAAAATTCTGTTACCAATATTCCTACTGAATGGATGGTAATATGAACATGGAGTTTCCACCAAAAGGAACTTATTATGGGGATTTATTTGGCTCTAAATGAAAATGATGCTGATCTCACTTCCAATATGGCTGTCGTGGCAGCCATCTTGAAAATTTTATCACTATTCCTAACAAGAAATTGACATAGGGTTTTCATTTGAGGACTTCTTTAGATGTCAGTTTTGCCCTAAATAAATATGGTGCTGATCTGACCATTCAATATTCCAACCATGACAGCAATCATTAAATCTTTATTTTAGATACTGCTCCAGAATATGGGGCCCTAAGTGAGTCTCAGGCCCAGCTAAGTCGATACATGAGAAAGCTTGCCAGTATCTTCTCGTGGGTAGGTGGTTCTATCGGGCTTTTCCAATGTTCTTCCTCCACCAGTTATACTGGCCTCCATATTAAGACTATCTTGTGCTGAAAAATGGGATTAAACCCTACAACAACAGCAACAAACTCCTGAATAGATGACGATATTAACATGGAGTTGTCACCACAAGACTTCTTAACATATCTAGTTGTGCCAATCTAACATCTATTATGTCAGCCACAGTGGCCAGTATAAAAATCTTTTTCTTGAACAGAAATGGTTTCAACGCTCAGCAGTTAAAAAGAAGTGATCAGATCTTGGATTCCTGGAAATTATTTAACAGGCAGCAGAGCAGCAGGGAATCTTCTTGTCAGAGTTATTGCCCTTTTTAACAAGGAGTCTGACGTGGTGTACGACAAAATCTTGTGAAAACAACTAGTAGCATTTTTTTAATCAATTTCCATGAAACTTTGTACACATTATTGTCATTTTTCAAAGGCGCTCATGGTGCCAAATGTCTGGTCGTAGACCAGATGAGCTTATGTTGTCCATCAATCTATTAGCACAAGTTTTTTTTTTTTGTTATATCTAAACTGCTTAATGGAATGGCATTCCATGATCTTATTGGTCCTAAATGAAAATGGTGCTGCTCAGATATAAAATGTGGCTGCCATAGTGGCCATCTTGAAATCTTGCACCGCTCATGAACAGATGTTCATATAAGCATGAGGTTTTCATCCAAAGATTTCTTGCGATATCTAACTGATCCTAAATGAAAATGGTCCAGATTTGATTGCCAGTATGGGTTTCTTGGTGGCAAAAATTAAGATCTCGCTATTGCAACTTGTTTTAAATAGATGGTCATGTCGTCTTAGGGTACTTAGTAAGTTTAATTTGATGTTCGTCCTCAATAAAAATGGTGCTGATCTGACATCAAATATAACCACCATGGTAGCCATCTTGAAAATCTTGTTATTGTCAAAATTTCTAAACAAAAGTCATATCAACATGTGGTTTTTCCCAAACACTTGTTGGTTCTAAATGAGAATCAAACCAGTGACCTTCTTGGAAATCATGTTATCACTACTCCTCCTGAATGGATGGTCATATCACTGGGGAAGGGAGTCACCAAAAGACTGAATTTAATATTGATGGTGCCAGTCTTGGTCTCTGTGATCAATATCTTCAGAATCTTGTCACTACACCTCCAGAATGGATTGTCATATTAACATAGGGTTTTCACCAACAGGCTATATATGTCTGGCTTGACCCCAAATGGGCATGGTGCTGATTGTATTAAGTTGGCCATTTTGAACATCTTGATATCGATCAAGAATATTGCTTTCTGTATTCAACAGTTACAAGGATGAAATTGTATTACCTTGGATTCCAGGATATTATTTTCAGGCAGCAGAGGGTAGGTTCGTGTCGGTTTTGAATAGTTTCTCCCTTTTTGTTTTTGCAAGTGAATGCTCAGGTGAAATATTGTCACAGCAGCTTGTCATTCGGTTTTCAGTGGATTGAACTTAAAACATTTTACATGTAACGGTAGACCGCTCTGGTAGTCTAGTGTTTAGAGCGTCCTCCTCGGATGCGGGAGGTCACGGGTTCGAACTCCGGCCGAGTCATTCAAAAGACTTATAAAAATAGTGCTTTGAACTGCTTCGATAAGCGCTCAACATTAAGATGTTAGTGTTAGGACTGGTCAGCCTGGTATCCGGATAATGTGTCTGGGTGGGACATCATACTAAATGTCTGCTGAATGATGCCAGTGCTAGACATAACTGAAAACTGCCACGTTGCTGATATAGCGATACGACCGATATATTTTAAGAGTTACGCACGCACGCACTGACATTATGGTGATTATGTAAAGGTGCACATGTAAACAAACCACTGCTGTTGCTATTTTGGTTCGAATTTTGGCTCATTTTTTTGGAGATGAATGCAATTTGTGAGAGGATCTTTGTAAAAAGAGCTCGTGCATTTCTTTTTAGAACTGACACATTAGACAGGAAATTCTTTACATTGAGGAAGAAGGGGACGTTTTATAAACATACAAGGAATTTAACAAGGAAATAAGAGAATGGCTAACAAATATGATGAATTAGGCTTGTGCTTTAAGTTGATTTTCGGATTTAATTCTGAAAACTTGCCATGAATTCAGCAATTGCATGTCATTGCATCTACCATGCTTACTGTTGAGAATAAAAGCATAAAACTCCAATATATAAATTCTATAACATTTGCCTGATATTTTATGCATGGACACAAAAGATATACGTAATTTTTGTCAGGCCCATGTTAATTTGATGTGAAATATAGTAGTCATTTTTTCCGACGGCAGCATCAGCGTCAGCAGTTTAAGATTCAGATTAAAGGTTTTCATACGCGTATATTTCCTAAACCCCTTCATAGATCCTCACCATACGCGTGAATCATTATAAAACTAGGACAATTCATTCTATGACAACCATTCTACCTTGGGGTCACGATCAGATAGTCGTACAAAATTTGCTTTATGGATTTGGTTGTAGTTTTTCATTGGTTTACATTGCCCAAGTCTCGTGATAGAATTCATTCATACTTGTCTTGAACTACTACAAAGTTAAGACTATTTGTTCTGAGACTTGGTGTGTGCCTCTTTAACCTTGTATCAGCGTGGAATTTTCACTAAAAGAGTTAATGACGATGAAGATTCGAGGAAATTATTTTCGCCCTGGTAAACATCAGTCCATTCTAGGGACTGGTGTACAGTTTAACTAGTACAATATGTCTAGTTTAACTAGTACTGTACACCAGTCTCTAGAATGGACTGATGTTTACCAGGGCGAAAATAATTTCCTCGAATCTTCATCATCGTCAAGTCTTTTAGTTTTATTACTTTTTTTGTCTCGTAGAGGAGTGATGTTATAAATTAAATGTTAATCCAGACAGTTGGGATAATGGGATGATGTGTTATTAAAAGCAGAATCAATGATTGAGTATGTGTTAGCACGGGTCAGTTTTATTTAAGCAAGGAGTATGTACTAGATGGTGAGGGAATCTTGCTTAGATTACTGAAAGGATTGAATGCAAAACTACGGTTTCAGAGTGAATGCCTGCTTTAGAAAGGAAAAACGGATTTTTGTTATAGTTGAAATTGGAAAGTGTTTCTTCAAATAATGTAAAGATAAAAGAGAATTAAAGTACTTAAAATTTCCATATGGTTGTAGTCGTAGGAAAAGGTGTATATCAGAACAGGGACAGGTTAAATGCACATATTTCCAGTTATTTTTGAAGCATTTTGTTTGTTTACTGCTTTTGTCTAATTAGGTGCAGATATAATTCTAAACTAACAATATGATAAAAGCCTTCCGCCACACATATAGCGAGTTTTATTTTTAATTGTGCGAGTAGAAAAAGATCTAATGTTTGGTCAGTTTTTACCGCAATGGTTAAATCTCGTGCAGATTGTGAAGTGTAACCTTGAGCACGAAAGGTCAATGGAGAAGTTTTCTTTTGCTACTTTGGATAAAATTGTTTAATATGCTTCGCTTAGTTAAGGTAAACGTAAGAATTTTTTAAAAAAATAACAGTAATTATACATATCTCGAAAACAGTAATGGGCCTATTCTATCCGCCTCACCCAATTATAATTGTGTTCAAATCATTAGTTGAGAAAGGAATTGGCATAGGTAGGGAGCTGCAAGATTTACCACCATATCCGTATGCAAAGTATAACATGAACTTGTTATGCGTCGCCTATCAGAGGTTGTATTTTCTTGTCACGTTTAAAAAGATTCAAATGTCGATGTCATCGAAGTCTGCGACCCATAATGACAGAACATGACTCAGGCCAATATATAAATTCATTTTAATTTGTTAATTTTTTAAAAAAGTGTTTTAATATTTCATTATGTTGAACTGTAATTTCCATTGAAAGAAGTCATATTCAAATCCTTGAAACTCTGGTAACCCTTGAAAGGCATTAGACTTTTGAATCTTTCTCAATCTACTTAAATTCATAAAAATTAGCAAATCTTATGGGTGAATATGATTTTGCGTAACGAATAATTATTTTAAATTCAGGAAAATATATTCCTTTTTAGTTAGAAACCACAATATTAATTAACAGAAAGAGGAAACGACACTAATTGTCAAATCTAAAGGGACCCTTCAGACCCATGATGTTCAACTCCACGGTTTGGATTTTTAACTTTTAAATAAAATGTAAATCCAGACGTTTGAAAATTGGGGTCGGGTCGCGTGTTATGTCAAGTGTTTTTGAAGCATACAGTGTGTGCCGGATGGTCTAGGTATTTCAATGAGATGACAAGATGTTTCAAATAGGAAAATATGCACTCAGAGTGAATAAAAGGCTTTATAAAGCAAAATGTTGTCTCAAATGTTTGACATCAATTATAAACGTTTAGGCAGTGAGATTTTCTAGAAACATTTGTCTAGAAAAAGGCAAATAATTTTATAAACAATTGCTTTGCAGAACAAGGACAAGGTAAAATATACTGAATTCTGGCTAATTTTGAAGCATTGAAACTGAAGCACCTTTGCTGGATGTGTGTGTGTGTGTGTGTGTGTGTGTGTGTGTGTGTGTGTGATTTGAATTTTTTAACGTAACTTTAAAAATTTTCAGTCACATCGCTGCGATGTCTGCTGTGTGTAATTTTTTAGTGATGTCTAGCACTGGGACATCATGCCGCACGCACACAGCATTATGTTCCACACAGTCATATTATCCTGATACAAGGCTCATCAGTCCTATCACCAACCTCTTGATGCTGAGTGCCTAGAGAGTCAGCTAGTAGTACTATTTTTGTTAAAAGTCGTTGTATGAATAAGACACAATTCAAACCTGCGACATCCCGCATCACTTAAGTCACAGGAGCGTTCCGTTTATTCTAGATTAAAAGCCGGATTTAAAAGAGTGCGGAAGAATTCTGATTTAAAATACGATAAAGCCATAAGCTAGACTGAGAATTTGTTTGGATCATAGGAAAAAGAAAAAGTCACTGTATTGGTCTGTTACCACTGCAATGATTCACACTTTCTATATTCATGTGAGGAAGTGAAATTGTATTAAAATTGTTTAGCATAATCTATGGTCACATTTTACTTTAAGTATTTTCATTAGCTCCTAATTCCTACAATCCTCATTCCTCATTACCTCTCCATTCCTACACCTCTTGATGAGATTTCTTCATACTTTGGATGAATCATTGCGAAGCTAAAACAATTCTGCGACATGTTTTCCTCAACTTTTGACCGATACAGTGTCTGTCCTGAAAATCTTGTTATAGTTACCGAATGAAGTGTCATATCAACGTAGGATTTTCGATTAAAAATTTCTTATGATATTGTGTTGGTTCTAAATGAAAATTTTATTTATCTCATGTCCAATATGGCTGCCATAACAACTATTTTAAATGCGTTATTATAGCTACTCCTCCTAAACGAAAAGTCTTCTTTTCTGCTTAATCCTAACGGAAAATGGCAGTCTTTGTAATCCAATATGGCCGCCACAGCGGCCATTTAGAACTCACTACTCCTAAATGTATGGTTGTGCAAACATGCTTCTTTTTGCTAAAAGACATTTTAAGATGGTCCTGTGAAAATGGTGTTGGAAACATCCATTATGGACACAATAGTAGCCATCTTGAAAATCTTTGTTATAACTGAGAAACGTTTGATGATGTCTAGTTAGTTCTAATTGAAATTGGTTCTGATCTGACCCCCACCCCATAAGGCCACCACAATGACGCATATATCTTATATATTGGTCAAAGAGCATTTAATACCGTATACCTTGGTGAATAATTGATTATATGTAAACTGATATAGATTTTTGATAATTTTCAACCGACGTAATAACTGACATTCAACCAATCAAACACCTCTGACTCATTCAAGTGGGTGATTGGCTGTTTTTCTCTTTTTATAACTTTTTCTTTGATTGCGAGCCTACTATACTTGTTTTAAAACTAAACATTTATACCATTAATATCTTGAAATGTATTCCCAAGATTGAGAAATTTTATGATGACGGAAATACACTCTATAGACTTGTTCATTCTAACTTTTCTAGCACATGTGAGCAGTCAGTCTGGTTAGATGTGTGCTTAAATTATGTACATTTTACATAAGTCCAAAATTTAAAGAAATTTTTTTGAGGGTAACATACAGATGTGTCAACATAGTCTCCATTGTGGATGTTGCAAATGGTATAACGGTACCAATTGTACAACCCCAAATGGGCGGAGCTTAAGGTGTAGGGACATTGCATTCAGAAATAAACAACAAAACTAGTTGTGATTGGTGCATTATGTAAGAGTTGTACTTTCTGTTAGGCTTTAAAAAAAGTTGAGCCTGTTGGCAACACGTAAGATTATGTTAATTCATATCTAGATCACATTTTGTATTTTTTTAAGATTTTTTTTTTAAATGACTGAAAATGTGTCTGGTGTAACTAAATAACTCTTACCCCTGTCTAGTTCCAGCAGAGTTATCTCTCTTAAATGCAATGGAGTACCTATTTTCGTTGTTATCAAATTGACAATCTAACATTGTTCTCTGTGACAGTGTGTGACATGCATGGTGAGGTAGGATAGAAAGTATATTTATTTCGCAAAAA